CTCAAAGCACGTAACAACGATTTTCCCCCGACTCGCACTGGCATTATCACTGTGCTGCAATCTTAGGTTCTTTCAGCCTGGAAATAACAAAGCTGGGAGCCCTCCTGCGTCCTGTTTCTAACCTCTCTCAACCTGCAACAGCCTCTAGAACCCACTAGAAGAAAAGTGGATTGTTCTACCTATCCGTTACGGGAAGTAAGCAGAGATACTTTCCAGAATAAAACAGTACAAATAACACAAACAACAAATCAGTAATATCCGAAAAATCAAAGAGCAGCCAAAGCAAACTCTCAAGTTATGGAAGCTATGAAAGCTTTTTCTTACATTTCTGATCTGTCGAAATAGAAATAATGGAGTCCTCCTCCTTTAAACCAAAAAGCCTCATCATTTCACAAAAACTTTGAGACAGCCAGAGTCTCCAAACTCACATCCACAGAAAGCTATTTTGACAGCCACTGACGGCAGGAGCAAAGATTAAATGTTCTTAATATGCAGACAAAGAAAATATGTCTTTTTATTTTTAAGCTCACAACGTATTTATTTCTCCCCTCTGCCTTCTTAACTTCCTCCCACCAAGCTCAGTTGTGTCATCAGGCAAAAAGAAAAAATTCACACCGGTTAAGAGTTGCAGTTGTGAAAGAAATCTGATACCGTGATAGTCCTTCTGATAAAAATAGAAAGCATGACACTTGGAAGTGAAATATCTATTGAGAAATAGGGCTAAAAAAATATTCTAAATGCTACGAACCCAAAACACTGGGCAATGAGTAGGTAACTGGTGCAAGTTTGATCCCTTGACAATGATTTGAGTTGCAGGCAAAGTTCTGAAATACTTCTCTCTACACACACATATATATAGGTATATAGTTACCTATGAAGTGTTATTTTCATTTGTCTATCTTTTTGTTAATAAAATTAAGAACCAATGCAAGCCTTTAAAACAATTATTCAAATCCTGAATTTCAACAACGTTCAATCCCTTCTCCAGCTTCAGCAAGCTCAGCATCTAGAGAAACGAGACAAGTGGTTCTCAGACTGAGAGGAGTAACCCCATGGGACTGGGCAGGAGAAAGACTGGGCAGGTTTGAGAACCACTGCACTAAGCCATTGCTCTATAATTGTCATGAGTTAACACGTAACCTTTACCAAAAAGGGGGAACTCTGATTCTTTATTCAAGTAGGTTTTAACACATTTAAACTCCATCATGTATGCACAACTGTGTACTAAAACTCCTTCTTCAAAACGAAGATTTTGAAAAAAATTAAAAGGCAAATAAAAAGAGTTTTAAAAAGCCTTCACATAGTAATATTAAATTCATTCACGGTGCAGATTCTAAACAAAATTCATTACCACCCCAAATGATTACTGACATCCATAAGGGGAATAGAAAAGTTCACAGAACTGTAACTTTTTGTTTCCCAACTACTGTACATTTTCAATTGTACAGAACTGTACTAATATAAGCTCTCCTTCAAAATACGTATGTGTATCCCAAGGAGACTAGAAAGAGTGGACATCCGGTTAGAAACTGACTCGTGTCCTCACACGTATCCCAATGGTAGGCTGAGAGCCAGGAGGAGACAAAAAGCCTCCATCCCCACACCAGCCAATTCCCAAATCTGGCTGTATACTAACTCTCGTGCCGCTGAGTAAACTGTGAATGTCTCAAAACCTTAAGGGGCTGGGGCGGGGTGGGAGAAAAAATTCAAGCAGAATTTTATTCCAGCATTATCTTGACACAAGACAAAATTACCATGCTGAGCTGAACTAACTGAAAACTTTCTTTAAATTACAAGCATAAATAGTTTAGCTGTCTTTTCGGTGAGTTCAACAGAATGCACACTGAGAATGTTTACATGAGATTTGATACAATTTCATTTGTGTACAGTTTTTACATCTGTTGCTAATGATATCGAATTATTGATTGTTCACTTTCTTATATTTATTTAAACGTTAACTATATACTCGGCAACCTGATGCTTTTCTTTTCTTTTCTTTTTTTCAGAAAACTTTTAATTTTTGCCTGGCTTCAGTTGTAATTACTTTGATCTTCCAGAGTGTATAATTATTTTAGTGTTTATTTATTTCTATGAGAAAGGAAAAAAGTTTGACCTAGGAGATCTATATGTGGCAATTTGTAACAGAATCACATAGCTTATGTTTAGGAAATCATGGTTTTGATTAAGAAGCAACCATTTAGTTCCCACTGTTTTATTAAAACAGACATTAGCAGATAATAGGAAACACATTCAACACTGTAGGCTGCCTTTAGTTTGCAACGTCAATAAAGTTATTTTGAAGTCCCTTCCTATTTCGCCTTTACCACAGCTCATGTGAATTGTTTTTTGCTTTTACTTTCTAATAGCCAGCTCTAGAGATACACATGGATATGGGTGCTGGTCCCAAAGACTGGGAATTATAGTTTTACCCAATCTATCCAGATTACAACCTGAAAACTGAATTGTTGCATCATCCATCAACTCTCATGGAAAACTTAAGTCCTTTTTTTTTTTTAACTACTGTTAAAGGAACATGTGATGTCTGAAGCATATAACTCAAGTCACTGATTTTGCATACTAACTGGGCTGTCCTGTAGGAATCTCTGGCTACAGAAAAGAAGCAAGAGATGATGAGAAATTGAAACCACCCAAAGAAGTGCAGAAGTCTTCCTGTTTCCAGGGGGTTTAGATTACTGCCCTGAAGTTGCACGGCTGTTTATTCTCCATGCACCACTGTACCTGCCATAGACTCTTTGTTTTCTCTCCCACTCATATGGTTGATGAATCAACACTACTTGAACTGCTTTATAGCAGCTTGTGTTTACTTCACACATACTTTAACCTTCCTTTTTCTCCTCCTACTAACACACACACACACTTCCAAACAGCAACGACTGGCTGTATCTCTTTGAATAGCACAGATACAGAGTTATCTGGCAAACTCTTCAGGTTTGGATCCTTGACCTCTTGATTGAGGTCTCATTCTGCTTTTAATGCACTTAACAATTTAACTGTGCACTTACTAAGTAAAAAAAAGTAAGAGCTTAAAGAATTCAATGCTCTAAGAATGGAAGAAAGTGGAAGACAGCAGTGTGCTAGAAACACTCAGAAGCTGTAGTGGCATCTCTACGGTTAAGAACACTACAGTTAAGGACTTTCAGTGCCTCTGCAACTGGCACCCTTGCCCAGTTTGAAAAAAAAGAAGGGGAAAAAAAAAAGAAAAAAACCCATCTCTGTTCTCCTAGAACGGCAAGTAAAAGCGAACGGTGGTGACCTTGAAGCCGTTTGATTCCTTTGATTGTTTTTTAACCAAAAGGATATGTTAGAGCACTTCAAATAAAATTCTTTTATTAAGAGACACCATTTAGAGAAAAGAAACACTTATGAGTCACACAATGGCAATGGTGAGAAGAAACTATCGAGTTTATTTGGCATGAGAGTAACCATGTACTAAAATGTCTAATCAACGTTTTTACTTCAAGCCTTAATCAGCGTGATTTGCGTGAAAAGCAAAACCTCCATTTCCTCATTGGCATTGTTCAGGCCACTTCTGCCTGAACTATCTTCCTTCTAGACATAAACAATTTTACCATCAAAAATTCTTTTTTTTTTTTTTTTCCCCTAGTGAAAATCTAATCCCTGCACAGCCCAGGCCTGAGCATCTTACAGGTACGCTCTGCACAAGCCAGACGTGCAGAGGAAAACCAGATGCCTCAGAACTTGTTCTGATATTTTAGGCAATTTTGTTTCACGTGTTCCTAACTCAAGCAGCAGACTCTTTATGGTATTATTATGCAGATTTCTAGTCTGTCCTACGGAAACTAAACATGCAATCTTTCATAGCTTATGTATGCCAGCCTTTTAAGAGAGAAAGGCAGCAGACTTTTTGAAAAATGCTAATCTCATGTGACTACAAATACTATGGCTTCTCAAGAAGGACAGGACATTACTCTATTTCTGCATAATGCTTGTGAATCCTGTTATGATTTTCCTGGCCACTGAAAGGATCACAGACAGAAACGACAAAAATAGCCTATGTCTTCTTTCAGACAATGGATCATCTCTTCAGTGGTGTAACAGCGAGAGAAACTACGAAAAAACCTATCAGAGGGTAAAGCTAATCTCCAAGGCTGATGGACATTTGGGGAGAGAAGAGCCAGTTGGTACTGTGGAAAAGCTTCTGACTATCCCCAAACTCCTGTTCAAAGTACATATGTGTTTCAAAACAAAAAAAACTACCAAAACAAATGGTCCAGTACATACACAAGTCCCTTCCCAAAGGAAAGGATGAATAAAAGAACCAACTACACATGACAGATGCTTATCACGTCACTCCATGTGCTATTAGAAGGCGATCGGACGTTTCAGGAGAGTGGGATGAACTTACATAGAATAATTCTACTGCCTCGGGCATTCACTGCTAACCAACTCATACAATTTTGTTGTAGAAGAAATGCAAACAATGGCTATTTTCATCTTAACTTCAGTGGGTGCAGCACCTTGTTATTTAGCAACATCTCCTAACAATCAGGTATTAAGCACATCACTGTTATGCAGATTCCACACAATAAAGCATGGCCGGAATGCCAGCACACTTAGTATTGAAAGCAGAGAGCAAGGGCACATGTAACTTAGAAAGACACTTTTTTAGCTTTCATGAATAAAATGCAACTAAGGTAATTTACATAGCAATTTAACTTTTAAATCCAGAGCTACTAGAATTTAATTTTTTTTCCAAAATGTTTTAGCTTAATTCAAAACACAGTTGATCTTTCAGCACAGCCAAATGGGTTATTTTAAGCATGTTTTAAGTGGCCTGTGTTTTCACACCAGCCTTGTTTATAAAGTATCAGATTTAATTTCAAATGTGCTGTGACTGTGCCCTCTTTGTAGACAAATTCACTAATATTATTATAGCTTATTATCACTTTTACTCTTTGATAATAATCTCTGTCAGCAGAAGTTCAAGAACTTGGAAAGTCACAAAAAAATCAATTTACCTTTAATCTTCTTGTACTTTTTGTACCATCTCCCAAACTCCTGGCACTTGGTTGCTGACACATTGGCATAGTATGTGCTATTTACAATGGATGAAATCATACTCTGAAAGTACAGAAAGAAAAACAAAAAGTGTTTCAAAACATCTGGCACAATTAGAAATCTTTTCCAGGGAAAGTGAATGACATGCGAGGGCACAATGATCATCCATTTGTGACTTTAAAACCAAAGGAAGCATCTGATGAGTACACAAAAATGGTTTTATTCTCCATTCTATATTCCCAGCCATAATTAAAATTAGAAAGTAATTATTATGCATAATAATGCAAAAAAGATGCAGTACAAACCTCAACTGAGATCTGCAGCTTGGGCCAGGGAGGCAGTCCTACTTTGCTTTGTATTTGTGATATTACAATATCTAAACTTTAGTTCCATAAGAGCAGGCAGTGCCATGCTGGGGAACACATGCTCACTGCATCCTAGTGAGAATAAGCATGATTTAGGAACCAGATCCTAAAGGTAAGATTAGATGCTGCCGCATGCATAATCCAAATAATGCTTTTCAGATGTCTCTGCTCTGCTTCCAAATGCAGTGAGACCACACAGCCAAGAATCAGAGAACATCCGTGCTACTCGCTGCAGAACAGTTAGGCAAATAAGTTAAATTAATATAATATATAGAAACGTGTGATTAGCCCTTGTGTGAAAAATCACCCAAAAGAGGAATCAGTAGCATCATTTAATGACTCTCCCAGAGAGAAGGGAACTACACATACCGCAATACGGGCAGCCAAAAATCACAAAAAAAGCTCAACAAAACTGAGATATTGCTTACTTCACCACACCCCCTCTCCACTCTGTGAATTCCCTCTAAGTGACTCGGTACAACCCAAATGAAGCACAGAGGAGTGGAGTTGTCTTGGAGCACCTGATATCCATAAAAATGTTAATTTCTACCTGGGATGCTTCTACCCATAGAGTGGGAAAGAGCCTGGTTAGTACTAGTTCTTCCTTTCTGTTAGTTTCCCCTCCCTTCATCCATTCCACAGAGGAGGCATAATATTAACAAAAACGTTACCTTTCTTTCTCCCTGTCCTGCCCCAAACTCTTCCAGGATCAAATTATTCCCAGCACATGTAAATTTCCAGCCAGGAAATGCAATCTAACACCATTAACACATGAGGGCCAATGCACCTTCTCCAGAAATCACTTTTTCCTTATGCCCTCCTTCCTCACTTACGTCAAAGCTCAGAAAAAGCCCTGACACATTGTATGACCTTTCTGCACAGAGATGAAAGAGCGAGGATGATCTCACAGGCTCAAATAAGCTATTTACTGTAGCTTCAAGCTCTGGCCCACCAGCTCCCACAGTCTCTTGTGCAAAGTGCGATCTTGGCCATCTCTGGAAAGCTACAAAGCTTCCACTTGGTTTACTCAATTTTAACAATGCTTTAAGAACAGAAACATCCCCTCCCTCTTCCAGATTTATCCAACCTTCTACCCAGTTCACTGCAACATCACAGGACTCTGGCTGTTTCTGAACTCTTGAGCTTTGGGGACTTAAAAAAGGTGAGCAAAACTGAGAGACTTAAGATAACTGGGTGGTGCAAATTAGTTTCAGTCTTCAACAGGCAATTTCACTTGCAATAAAGAGGCTCTTCTACCTTTTCAGTCAACTTTTCCACTCAAAGGCTACTACAGTGCACTGCAGTAGAGTCTGAAGGCTATGAAGTAAGAGCCTTTTGTGGCAGCTTCAATTTCTAAAACTGAGATTCAATTTTCTAATTAAAATCAATATTTTGAGACATAAACCTAGCATTGTGGCAGTCAGCAGCAATTCCCTCCCCATAAATCCTCCCTTGCTCCAAGTCATTTTAACAAGCAATAGTATTCTGAAAGCCTGACATGGAGATAGCCTCTACTAAGAAAGGCTTTTGAAGAAAGTTGAGCTAACTTGTGTTGTTTTTTTTTACCGTCACTTTAGTTAGATTTCAGTCACTAAGGAATGGTGAGGACATTGTTTAGCTCTGTCTACATAACAATTCAATTCCCCCCCTTTTTTTCCCCAAATCCTCTAGTTCTACAATAAATCAACATTACTGAAATTGTAGGGCTCTTAAATATCACAAAATACATTAACCCATTAACCTTTATTTTAGAAAGCAACACTTAAACTATATAGTAAAATCAAATAGTAAATCAACCATTGGTGAAAAATCCCAGGACAGATTCTCTTCAATTGCTTGACAGTAGAGCAAGGGAAGGAACCATAACAACTTTCAAACTGCATGTCCTCACTGTTAAATGGAAAGGAATGCTAGGGGTATTGCTGCTAGGAATCTTGATAAGGCTGCAGAAAGGAAATACCCATTCAGAAGAGAATGGCAAAAAAAATATCTGACTAATTGGAAATTTCTAAATAATGCAGAGTATTCCTGGGAAAATCCTTCAACAAGGAATAGATTATACGAAGTAGCAGACAGGTTTAGTATGGGTGTGTGGCCAAGACAGCCACATAGGAGGAAAACTAGGTAGACCAGGAGCTAAGAAATAGCCACACAAAGAAAATCCAGTGCAGTAAGTTCAAGGAGAAAAACATGGGATATGCTCACATTCCAAGAAATTTGCTCCAGCAAAGAGACAAAACTCATGGTCAGTGCTGAAATGAATTATACAATATACAGGAAAGACAGAGGTCTTTATGCAAAGATGGAAATGCTGAAATAATTGGATTTCTTTCTGCCACTCACACTCCCCTCACCTACCCTCCTTCCCCCTAGCTTGGTTAACTGGGATTTATTTGTTTGAAAAGGAGCTGTGTGCTCAGGGTAGCTAAGCTGCAGCCACATCATACACCTAGCAGAAAAAAAAAGAAAAAAAAAAAACAAACAGCACAATTTTAAATCAAAGTGAATGATTACATTTCCCATTAGTGGCAATAAGAATCCCCATCTGGGCTGCATGGTGAGCTCGGGCACTGAGAACCAGAGAGGAAGCACCATCACTGGTGGGAGCGAGAGCCCCTCTCCATTTCTGTACTTGAGGCACTACGAACACATTAATAAACAGCAGCATTTACTCTGCAGTTTGACTCCTAAGAGACCACTCTGCAATTTGCTGCTGTCAATAATATATTAACCACAAGGGGGTTGTAATGACATTTCACATTTGGCACGATATTTTTTTAAAACTGATTTGGGAGAAGGAATTGTATTAGAGGCATATTCAGATGATGGAAATAGACAGCTCCTATACAACCTTCCATTGTATCTTTTGCATTTTGTGAGCCCAAACAAAAGACACTGAAACTTTTAATGGCAATAATAATAATAGTTATAATAATACAAGCTGCATTCTTGCAGTCCCAATTCAAGGGTTAGTCATCACTCAAGGTCACACGTGCTTAAAAGTAAGCAAGCTCAGTTTTCTACAGAAGGATAGCCTTTTAGTTTTGTCCACTAGATAAATATTGGGGCAAGGATTTTTGCTGCTACAGTCCTGCCATCAGTAATTTTCTAAATATATTTCAGATGGAGGCTATAGAAGGAGTAAACCAACTGCAGCATTTCCACCTGGTATGCTTTTGAAACTGAAGTGGAAGGAAAAAGACCCAGAGAACAAATGAATTCTGCATATGAAATGATGCATAGTTTAGTTATACTGGATATTGAAGAAGACTGGGCAGAGACAACCATATGCTGCAATCATCATTAGCTGACCAGATTCCACAGATAATTCTATTTAAAGAAATTACACTTAAACTGTGTGAAAAGGAAGATACTTTCGTATTCAATGCACTTATGCTCTGTGCATATCCAGAGTCACTGCTGCTCCTTTAGTAAGTAAGGCAAGTTACATGGCTTTTCCTTACACAGCCTTTCCATTCCTGTCAGTTCTGCAGACACAACGTGGCTAAGGAAGATGAGGAACGATATTCCTACCAATTGCAAAGGCCTAAATTCTGCTCTGTATCTCACCTCTGTGCTTTCCCTGGAGTTGTAATCATAACAGTGAGGCAAATCTGTGCTGGTTATACATAAAAAGAATTTGCTGGGCTCACGGAGGCTTTGGATCATGAACTGCGGGATAAGCGTACAGTGCCATACAAGACAGGCAACCACAGGAGAAAAAACGTTGGGCACAGGCTAGCAAAGAGACCAATTTTTAGCAAGCAGGGATTAGTGATGGTTTGACTTTTTAAGATACAATACACAAATTACCCTGTGATTATAATAAAGATTTTAGGAGGCACCGTATTTCCCACTCCCAGAAAAGTTATTTGGACTGGGTATTGAAGCATTTTTCTGTTTTTTCTGAGAGGAAAAGTCATGAAAATTTTATAAATCTCTTGTTATGACAATCTGAAGTACAAATAGAACTCAGGATATCTGTCGGAACCTGTGTCTTAGTGTCTTAGACATGACATCACTGCTATTTATAAAGCAGTCATGGAGAATGAGACTGAGTTTTTGTTCTTTTTTTAACATAATTACATATACTTTTTTTTGCTGTTTCCTAAAAATTGGGGCACAATTGTTAAAATAGCATACTTTTTATCATAGTTGGAGGCTGATGACAGCTACCTATGGGTTAGTGGGGGAGGTGGGCCTCTGCTAGTGGGAAGAAGCAACTCAAATCTTGCATTTGAGGATCATTAGTCCCACTGCAAAAAGTTCTGATCAAGATCTAAATGAAGAATTCACATCTCCCTGAACAGCAGAATAAAAATCAAGCAATTCATTCATAATTTCCACCTGGCAACTCACTAAGATAACATGGTGTAAATATACTCTTTTCCATATTAATTAGAATTTCTCCTTTAAAGAAAACAAGAAATTGATTTGATATTTACGGAACTGTTTAGTCTAACCCCTTTATTGAATAAATATGAGCTTTAGATCTTATAAATCTGGCTTTCCCTAAGCCTGTTAAAAACACTGACCTGTGAGAGAGGGCATTCTTTGGCTAACGTGCTCTGATTCATCTCTTTGAGCAGTTCCTTTAAGGCATTGCGAACTGTGGCGTGGTTCCACTGCTCTGCTGGCAAGTCTTCCAACTTCGAACAACTGTTAAAACAGAAAGCAAAAAGTAGGTAGAAACATCACAGGCACTTACACTTTGCTTACAAGTGCTATAGACCTTTAAGCAGTGAGCACAACCACGGAGTTTCCACCTTAGCCAGCCCATCAAGGTGTTTCTTCTCTCTTTCCCCTCCCCACCAAGCCCAACTACCAAAAGATGGGTAGTTCAACTAAAAGAATGACAGTACATGGCAGGAATAGCAGCTAATCCTACTAAGATATTATAGGCGTGCATAACCATTCCCTCTGGGGCTTGGCAGAGAGCAAAGAAACTGCAGTCATCCCCAGAAATGGCTGGATAAACGCATCCTCTCCAGACGGAGAAAGATACTCCTGCTGGCGTAGAAAAATCAACATATATGCCACGCTGCCACTAACAAAATCCCTACACAGTACAAGCCCGCCTTGTATGGAGGCAAGGCTTGGAGCACCAAATCTGAAAAACTGATTTTATTTCATATCAGTTCTTATACTGCCCTCATCACTGAAGTATCCAAGAGCCTCTCAGAAACACATTAAGCCATATGTCCAACATCTGTCACATGTAGTTCATTCTCACTTTCATTCTACAAGAATTGCATCTGTAGTGAAGCTTTTGTCTTCATGTGACTTGTGCCTTTTTTAATTTAAGAAGCTTATGGTCTGTGTCTGCATACATGAGGACAGACCCAAGAAGCACATCAGAAAGTTGGGAGAAAGTTGTCATTGCCATTTGTGCCTGAGAAACTTAATGCATGCTCTCCAATCAACCTCTAAGGTGGTTCTGCCATTTGCCTGTACAGCCTGGCTTTATCCTCAGAGTTGAAAGTTCAGGTGTGCTTGAGGAGTTCAAGTAGTCAATGACCATCTTTATCTCAAAGTCATGGATTATCTTCTATTTACACAGTATCCAGGCACTCAAGCACTTTGAAGATAAAGAATGAGACCTTGATCTTGGGTTGATGCCCTCCAGCAATACAGACATGACAATAGGGTAGATGGACTCCTGGTAGCTCACACTTCTGAGGAGATGAGTTACTGCACTCCAGTTTTATAGTAGCTGTGGGCTCTAGACACTCTATTACAACTATGCGACAGAAATGCAGTCTAGCTGAGAACCAACAGTATATAAAACCAAGGAAAGGCCTGTTAGTGGGAATTGGAAACCTCAAGCCTCATCAGAGATATAACAGGAAAGAAGCATTGCTGTTTGTGAGGTTAACATCAGTGAGGCACAAACTACTTCCAGGTTCCAAACTGAAGAGTTGAAGAGTATGTATCTGCCACCAAAGGTCACAGACACACATCCCAACAGACCCCTCTTCTGTTCAAGTTGAGCTTCAAAGAGTTGTGGGCAAATTATTCCAGGTTGTCTATTATTTCTGCCTCTTTCCTCTGACATGTCCTGACCACAAAGCTGCAGCAGACTGGGCAACGTAGGCTTACCATTAGGACTAGGGTATGCCATGCACTGCCAGGGACCTGCCGCAACTCCTCACGCAGACATCAGTAGCTATTTGAGGCCTCTTTTGGAGGCCCACAGAGAGAAAGAGGGAGAAACAGTGGGAGTGGGAGGAGGAGGGAGGGCAAGTAAGTGTAAAAGTGTCAGGAGCTTTTGCTTTGCTAATCAGAACTAGCATTCAGGGAAGGAAAGTATTTTCCAAATGCCAAATGGAGCTGCAGTAACACATCCCTTCCTCATCTTCTCGCCTTTTCACTGGGAAGACCACTGGAGAAAAAAATGAAAGTCAACAAGCTCCCCTCCTCCCCATCTCAGCAACTGGCAGTAGAAGACCTGGATTCTCACAATGCAGCCCCTGGAAAAAGGCAAGGATAAAATACTTGATATAATAAGGCCTCAAGAATCCATTAAATTAGGAATTGTGGAAAGGTCTGCCTTTAAAAGCCCAGTATCTTTACTTGATTGAGTTTCTGCCCCTCCCCTTTCTGCTACCATATTGCTACTTCAGAAAACATACAAAATCAGTTGGAACATGCACCAAAAGCTGCCAGGTGACCCACCCTTCTCTTCATTTTTCTTTTCATGTCATCAAAAGACCAGAAATTAATGAAGACGGGATGTGCTAATCTCTGTAGTAACGCTGTAATCAACAGAGCTGCTCAGAGAATAGAGAAGGACAGATGTTCAGAAACACCCACCTTTGTAATTGGATTTTCAATGTCACAACATGATAGACATCTTGTAGCATGTCGGCTACTGTCGCATCTGGTGCATCAGTCACATAACTGAGAGGGAGGGGATTCCACCTCCCAAGCTTGATTATTCCTGAAAACAAAAAATTCAAACTTTATATTTCATCGGCCATTTACTAAACCCTTTGATAAGCTCATTTGTTCAGGAGATTCAGGATCTGCCTTGAGGTTTATTGCACTCTTGCTCAAAAAGATGCGTTGTACTGACTCCTGAAGCAAACCACAGGGAAGAGTAGGAATAGATTTTAAATTCTTAGCAGAGTGTTGCTGACATGTTCCTGGCTCTTAAATTACCTCAAGGAAACACAGGAGGCTTCCTCCTTTCACATCTTTCATCAGCCCACTAAAGCCTAGTTCTCTAAGCTAGAACACACTTTAAATAGTCTATAGTCCTGATTTTCCAGTCTACAAAACCTTTCAGTAAATAAATGCATTGGTTTTGACTTGAACAGGAAACTTCCTATGTGTGGGCTTTCAGCACACAGCTACAATCTAAGCATGGTGCAATTCCCAGTGTGGATGGATGGCACTGGAAACCCACCAAGTAGCAAGAGTTCACTCCCAGCTACAAGTTGCACTATGCAGATGGTTGCTTTTCTTTGTGAAAAAAACAACTGCAAGCTGCTGACCACAGATCCAAAATAGCATTTTGGGGGCGGGGGAAAATGCTTTAAGTCCTATTTCTACTTCTGTTCATTCTTTAATAGGGATCATCACCTCTTCTGGATGAGCTTGTCACAAAGACTGTAAACTTGGATGGTAAACCATTTGGTGCAGAGGTATTATTTCTGTTTAGACAATTGCAGAGGGCCCACCCACACCAAAAACAATGACTAATACCCAGGAATGACTTCCAGGAAGACGCCAAACAAAGCAAGCCACAGTGCCATCTTACATGGGAACAAAGCAGTTTGGCCTTGTTCTGCACTGTCCCAACTACTGCTTTTATTCCTTCCTCCACCATGTTCCCACTGCCCCACTGTTCTGCTCAGGTAACTTTTCTCAGCACAGCCCTACAAGACACCAATCACCTTCACTCCCATTTGAACTGATCCCTTCTGAGGTCTGCGTTTTTGATCTTCAGAAAGACCATCTGTAAACCCTACTGCCAGAAATACACTAATACATGAGAAAACTACTTCCTCTGTGACAGCACGAGCTCCAAGAACCCTCCTTGGGTATCTGGAAGGATGCTGTGATGCCAAGAAAGTTCAACCCTCTCCTCCACACTTTCTGCTCCCAGTTCTTCACCAGCTCTGGAACTAATCAAACAGAAACAAAAGGCAAAGGTCTTTTATCCTGATCTCCTGAACATGATCACAAAATAAATACCACCTCTGAAACAGTGAAACAAAGAGAGACAAAACCAGAACACAATGCTTATGACGCCAATTAATACCTACTATGGAATATTTTTTTTCCCCCATTCCTACACAGGTTGAAGGGGAAATAATTTTAGTACGAGTCCTTTTCTGTAGCACTTAAATCTTTGCATTTACCATTACCATTACCATTACCATACCAAGGTATTCTATCACCATACACCAAAAGAAGTTGGAAGTGACCGAGTTCATCCTCAGGGGCACAAAGTTTCACTGTAACATGCTGGTACAGGCGGGCTAATATTTCAAGAGCAGATTAGAAATCTTTTGACAAGGGGAGATCTTGCCCAAATGAAACAAAAAGTTAGTAAGTGTTGCTTGATACCCAATGCTTGAAAATGGGACATAAACAGAACAAAAACATTTAAATGATGCACTGTTTCAGTATTAAGATTTAACAATCTGGTGCTGAATATGCTGCAGTATAAATAGTGCCTGGACTCAGATCCAGTAGAGTAACACACAGCACTCATTCACAGCACCGTATGTCTCCAGTGCTGGCTCCTTGAGTCATATTCCACTTGCCAAGAAAAGCTGTTTTTCTTAAGGGGATAGTTTACTTAATGTTATCTCTGGTGACAACAAGAAATGCATATAGTACAGCATATATTAGTCATGAAATGAGCATCAAGGGTCCACTGAGTGAAATACATGCTGGGAAAACACAGTTTAGCTGCTGACTTCCTTCACCCCCTTCTGCTATATAATAATTTAAAGCAAAATCACCTAAAAATCCAGAAATTTATACCAGCTTCACAGAACACTTGGCTCCCTATGTTTAACCACGCCAAGTTTTCATGTAATTGAAAAAATAAGCATCATATGTGCCCCATAAGTCACATCTAAATTGGTAGTATTTTACAAGAGGCTTTATTTTTCATTCAATTAAGGAAAGCACTCAGAGAGCACACCATCTGCAACTGTTCGGGCCTGGCAATGCTGGTGAGAGATGAAGAGACAGTTGGTCACTGAAGTTACCAAAGGTGTCCCCAAACTAAAAAAGTTTAAAGAGAAAAACCACAGCGCAGCCAGAGTGCACCATGGGAAACCCTACGCAAATTGCTTTACAGGAAACGTCTGCTACTACTGGAAGTTCGGCTTTTTTTTCTTTTTTTCTTTTTTAATCCTCCTCTACAACTGGAGAGGAAATTGTTTTGGCTGGATCTAGACAAACACAGGTGTTACCATAATGCTCTGTGCCTCTGCACGTTAACACCTGCTGCGAGTCCTTTACTCCGCGGTACAGCGCTGCTGATGTGCGCTATTTTTTCAGCCGGTGTGATATGACGTGTGAAATTTTTTTTTCCAGAGCACATTAAGCTGCTCCAAACGATAGCCAGAAGCCATGGTTTCCATCCAGCTCCTCAGCAGCCTTCACAGGTGGTTTATTTCATGGCGCCGACACTGAACTTAAGGCAAGTCTTGGGCTGCATTTGGGAAGATGATGCCAGCTTGTCAAGCAAAAGTATTTTCTGCATGCTAGAAGACATCTCTGAATGTCTCCTCTGTAAAATCTGAACGGACCAACATTTTCTCCCTAAAAAGGTCCCTTCTCATCCAGGACTGGGCGTTTCTAGTGAAACAGCAACCCCAAGATGAGAACAGCCTGGCAGCAAGGAGTCACTTCCACATACAGGTTTTTTTATTGTTCCTCTCATTGACTCCAAATGGTAGAGCTCAGGCCTTTCATGAAATCACTTTAACAGGCCTGACTGAGCTTTCATCCGACCACGACCGAGACTTGGCAGTAAGGACAGGAATGAGCAAAGGTCACTGTGTTACTGACGAATATACTACTGCTCCAGGAATATCACTCCTCTGCCAGCTCTAGGGCTTCTCAAAATTATGTGTGGATAATGCGCAGCAGATCAGACTGCTCAGGAAATCCAAAAGCACATCTTTCATGAATTCACACTCTTCTGTTAATGGGTCTGGGTCTCTTTCCTGTATCAATGATCCTTTGGGACTCTCTTCCTGTAAGAGTTTTTTGAAGGGGAAGTTCAACAGGTTTCAAAGCTTGCACACACTCAAGAAACGGCCGTACACTAGAACAGCTCTCAAGAACTCGTCTAGAAATGGATGAATGCAACCCAGGCCAGTTAGTCAACTAAGGACAATAAATAGACCAGTTTTCTCAAAATAATTTTTTTTCAAAACATATTTTATAAGAGATTTTCCATCCACACTGGATGTTAGTTCTTGAATGGCATGTCCTTCTACAGACAGGTCTTATATTAAGTTTAAGCTTCAGCGTCATCAAAACGCAGACAGGGAAACCAGAAAAGAGTAACCCGGTTTAAAATTTGCACAACTTCCTTTACTCCCAAGAATGTCCCAACACACTAGCAGCAGACTTCTGTGATCTCCAGTGTCAGGTTCATACATAACAACCACTGCAATTCACTGCTGTCTTCCACTTAGGCCAATGATGTGCCACCCTGCCAGAGTGCTTTCAATTAGCTTCATTTAAAATTCAGCTCCTTTGGGGAAGAAAGTAGTAACTACACAAGTCAGAGCAGAACAATACATTGTAAAAAGGCTTCACCAGCTACATTGTGACCTCTATACCTAGCAGAATTCACCCCAGGATCTTTATGACCTTTATTTTACAGTATCACCTGAAAGAATGATGCATCCAAAGCACTGGGAGTATTCCTGGGACTTTACCTTAGTGAGATGAGAACTGAATGGATGCAAGCTTGGGAGTAAAGCAGACTCCTAGAGTAACTATATTCATCAGGAACACAGCAAAAGCAAAAGCAAAAAGCTGCTTTTCTAGAAAAATAAAGCTAAGCTGGCAAACCCTTTCATTTCTAGGTAGCACTTACTCTGTCCCACAAAATTATTTACCTACATGGGCAAGAAGCCCCATTTGTCTGTGCAAACTGAGAGACAGCCATCCAGTACACTCATTGCAAGAATGCCACATCTGGGGTTTAGAATATATCTCTATATCTAATAGTCTAGCTAGTCTAACTATGACACTTCTTGGTCATAAACAGAATAAGGTCTGGGTCCTGCATCTCCCAGTCACCTGCACAGTTAATATTTTATCTGGATAGTCACGTGGGAATTCCTGGGCCATCTCATGGACACTTCAATACATCACTATTGAAAAACTGAACTCTTAAAATGGAGCGTTTTCCAAATTTCTTTCTGCAGCTAACAGAACAAAAGGGACTGGAACACGCCTCACGCTGTCACTGGTTCCCTTCACAAACCATCTCCCACTCCCACCGTGCTTAGATTTCTGATTTCACCTGAGTTACAGGATTAATGCAATTTATTCAAAATGCTAATCTGCTGGGTTAAAATTACGTCACGGGATCAAAGGAAGGACATTTTGGAAGTTCCAATTAGCATCCACCACCCCCACCTCAACATTTTTCTGGAAACAGCTACAAAATGAATCATGAGTAATACTTGCCCAAATGTGTACAAAGGGGGAAAGAGGAGGAATTTTGTGGTCTTTGGCTAAAGGGGAAAAGAAGGATAGCAAAGAATACTGATTTCTTAGCAAACACTAGCGTAAGATCCCCTGGGCTATATTTACTCCTTCAAAATGTCTTGAGGAAATTTGATTCTGCAGAGTTATACTGGACCAGAGCTGTGCCTCGCGTGGCTGTGGCCACCCAGAGCTGTGCTAGGTGTCCTAGTGTTGGCTTCCCTGCGCCACAGGATGCCAGCCTGA